CAATCTCAGCTCACTGCAGCCTCCGCCTCTGGGTTCAGGTGACTCTCCTGCCTCAGCCTCTTGAGTAGCTGGGATTACAGGTGGACACTACCAAAACTGGCTATTTTTGGTTTTTTGTATTTTCAGTAGACAGGGTTTCACCGTGTTGGCCTGGCTGGTCTAAAACTTCTGGCCTCAAGTGATCTGCCCACCTTGGCCTCCCAAAGTGCTGGGATTACAGACGTGAGCCACCATATCTGGCCAAAATATTTTTCGACTATGAAGGGAGAGAGAACGAGAAAGAAAGAGAGAAAGTGAGAGAGGAAACCAAGGATGTTTGCTACCAGAAAACCAATTCTAAAGGGGTTTCTAGAATATATTTCAGGAAAAAAGATTCTGGATGGAAGATCTAAGAATACTAACAGAGTGTAAGGAATAAAGAATAGAGACTATGGTAAATATGTATGTAAATCAAAACGAGCAGTGAATGTACAAAATAAAACCAAACATCACGATGATATCTTTGGGGGCTCAAAAATATAGAATTGGTATTTCATTAATAATAAAATGCCACTAATACTAAGATGCATAATTTATATATCACCTAAGGGAAAAAAAATGTTGCCAGTTAAACTATTAAGAACTAATATCGTCCTGAACAGCACATGAATCATCCCATGTCATGTTAATTTAAATTTTAAAAATGTCTTCTAAAGGATTAAGCAATTTCTTCTGATTTCATTTGCACTGACAGTTTACGGTAAATTACCCTTTTGCTTTTTATCTTACAACAAAAAGTAACATGGCTTCATCCACATGTGGGTATCTTTCTTTCCTAGGTTCTACAAAGCACCAGATTGTTGCTTTACAAAAAAATACGGAATATGGTCATTTCCCAAACAAATGTTACAGGTGTCCCAAGAACGAGAGGTATGCTTCCTCTTTTACTTCTGTGCCCTTCTGTATACACAATAACTTTGTCTCCGTACCAGCTAATAATGTAACACTTTTGCAAATGTTTGAAAAGGCAATAAATTAAACATGTATCAATGAAGAAATAATTCAATTAAAGCGATAATATGAACAGCAATGACAGAGTTCATGCACCTGCAGGCAATGACAACTTTATCAGGACTGCCACCTGGGACTAACAGCAACTGTAAATCACCATCAATTGAAGACATACCTCTACTTCGGAGATGTTCGAATGTGAAATAACACGTATATTGGGATTGATAAAATGCCACAAAGAATGTTATGAAAATAGCATGTAAGTTGTGAGGAGGAGAGCTAGAGTTCAACTGTTCTAAGGTCTTTATATTATCTGGAGGAGGGTAAAGGTTTTATACTTTGAAATTCTCAAATATATACTTTGATAACTGAAGTACAGATGTTGTGATTTCTGGGTAACCAGTAAAGTAATATTTAAAAAACGTATAATCGCATAATTTTCAACTAGTAGAAAGAAAAGAATGGATTGATAAAAATACTCAGCCAAATGAAGACAAGTAAAGGGAAAAAATAAACATATGGAACAAGCCGGGATGGTATATTGAAATGCCATCAGTGTCTAAATGCACCGGTAATTACATCAAGTAAAGTAATTTAAATCCGATTTAAAAATTACCAGACTAAAAAAAGTCAAAATCATATGCTGATTACGAAACACATATCTAAACTTTAAGATCACAGATTGAGAGTAGATGTAAAAGAAGGAGCTGGTGGAGCTATACTAATATCTGACAGAATAGGCTTTAATACAAAGGTGAAGAAGAAAAATGGTTTCTGATATAAGGGAGATACTTGTATGAACTTTTTTTTTTTTTAAGACAGAGTCTGTCACTCTGTTACCCAGGCTGGAGTGCAGGAGCATGATCTCGGCTCACTGCAGCCTCCGCTTCTTGAGTTCAAGCCATTCTCCTGCCTCAGTCTCCCAAATAGCTGGGATTACAGGCACACGCCACCATGCCCGGTTAATTTTTTATTTTTAGTACAGATGGGGTTTCACCTGGTTGGCCAGGCTGGTCTCAAACTCCTGACCTCAAGTGAGCCACCTGCCTTGGCCTCCCAAAGGGCTGGTATGAGCCACCACGCTCGGCCTTGTATGCACATTTTAAAATAGACTTGAAGCTAATGACATGGCCTCAAGATTTATAAAGCAAAAACTGACAGAATTTCAAGAAGAAACAAACAAATCCACAATCATGGTGGGAGATTTAAAAACACCTATCTCTTATCATTAGAGCAGGCAGGCCATTAAGTCGGTACAAGTAGAGAAGATTTAAACAACACGATTAATGAATTTGATTTAAAGGGTATATACGTATATGTATGTGTTTGTGTACACACACAGACACACACACAGAGAAATATATACTGCATTCAAGAGGCACAGAATATACATTCTTTCCAAGTTCACATGGAATATTTATAAAAACTAAACAAAAAATGTGTTACAAAGAAAATAAAGAATTGAAATCATGCATAGTATATTTTCTGACCTTATTGGGTTTAAGCTAAAAATTTTAAAAGGCAGTAATGTGCCTAAGAAACTCAAGGGTCAGGCTGGGGGCGGCGGCTCACGCCTGTAATCCCAGCACTTTGGGAGGCCAAGGCAGGCGGATCACCTGAGGTCGGGAGTTCAAGACCAGCCTGACCAACATGGAGAAATCCCGTCTCTACTAAAAATACAAAAAAATTAGCCGGGCGTGCTGGCGCATGCCTGTCATCCCAGCTACTAGGTTGACTGAGGCAGGAGAATCGCTTGAACCTGGGAGGCGGAGGTTGTGGTGAGCCGAGATCATGCCATTGCACTCCAGCCTGGGCAACAAGAGCAAAACTCTTGTCTCAAAACCAAACCAAACCAAACAAAAAAACAAAAACAAAAAAATCTCATGCGTCAAAAAATCATAATGGAAATTAGAAATATTGTAACCAAATGATAATGAAATCTTTATATTAAAATTTGTGAGATGCAGCTAAAGTCACGCTCAGAGGGAAATTTATGGCCCTAAATACAAATACTGAAAAAGAAGAATAACCGAAAGTTAACGACATAAGAATCCATTTTTAAAAGGTAGACAAGGCCGGGGGCGGTGGGCCACACCTGTAATCCCAACAGCACTTTGGGAGGCTGAGGTGGGTCGATCACTTGAGCCCAGGAGTTGGAAACTTGCCTGGGCAACATGGTGAAATCATGTTTCTGCAAAAAAATACAAAAATTAGCCAGGTGTGGTGGCACACACCTGTAGTCCCAGCTACTGAGGAGGCTGAAGTGGGAGGATCATGAGCCCAGGGAAGTGGAGGCTACAGTGCTGTGATTGCGCCACTGCACTCCAGCCTGGGTGAGAGAGGGAGACCCTGTCTCAAAAAACAAACAAACAAACAAACAAAGTAGACAAAGCAAAATAAACTGGAAGAAAGTATGAGGAAGGAAATGGAGAACATAAATAAAGGAAAGGCTGCTGATGAATTTGAACTTTGATACTCACAACAAGAGGACGAGGCAGAAGAAGAGCAATGAGAATGCAATGGCTCCATACACAATGCCCTGAATTAATCCTTTCACGAACATACTGGAAACTGATTTCTTATCTGGAATTGGAGGGAAGTGAGATGGACTTTTCTCCAAAGGCTTTGAAGTCGGAGCTAAAACTCTCTACCCTTTCCACTGGCCCTGTGCCCATCCACATCTGGTCCTTAGGCGTTCTTTCCAGCTCAGTCACTAGGTCCCCGGATACTCACTTGGTATCAGGAAGAAGCTGGAAGTGTGAATTCCATATTGGTTCTTCCCCTCACAGCGAAGTCTCATGACTATTTCTGGCTCCCCGATGAGGCTGATGGTGCTATTGGCCCAGGGGACACGTGTGGAAGAAGTCACCCGGAGGATGTTATCCATGCTGTTCACATCCACAGGGACACCTCCCATCCACCACTGCACGGAGGGCGTGGGGATCCCATGGAAGGAACAGCTGCACAGAACTGTCTTCTCCAAAGAACAAGAGGAATTGAACAACCCGGGAGGTGCTGTGCGGAGGAAGAATCGGGGATCATCAAGATGTCCTGATTTTGCTTCTCTACTTCCCCTAAGACCCAGCCTTCCCTCTACTCGCTATTCACAGGGAGCTTCAGAAAGACTTTCTGGCAACCCAGAGTGGGGCTGGGACTCAAAACAGTCCCCTTTCATCCTCTCTCCACATCTGCCTCCGACTTGGGTTCAGCTCCTACCTCTGACCTTTCAGCCCCAAAGGTCAGGGGGAACATGTGACAGCTCCTAAGATTTCTTTCCCTCTGGGGCTCAGGTCTTTTCCTGAGCCCACTATTTCTCAGGATCCTGCCTGTGCCCACCAGCACTTACAGACCACTTGGAGCTTGACCAAGCTACTTCTGGTCACGTTGGCTAGGGAGAAGTTCAAGTGACATCCAAGGGTGTTGCCATGGTCCTCAGGCCTCAGGATGAAGTGCGGCACCGAGGAGGAGCTGCTGGAGACGGCTGGGTTCTTCCGGGAGTGAAAGAGGGCTTGGATTTCTTTGCAGGTGCCTTTGAG